TTGATTTTTGATGTTAACAAAGTGGATTCCACTGAGCCACCCTACAGCCAGAAGAGATACAAGGAAATTGTTAAGGAAAATTGGCTACAACCCTGACACAGTAGCATTTGTGCCAATTTCTGGTTGGAATGGTGACAACATGCTAGAGCCAAGTGCTAACATGCCTTAGTTCAAGGGATGGAAAGTCACCCGCAAAGATGGCAGTGCCAGTGGAACCACACTGCTTGATGCTCTAGATTATATCCTGCCACCAACTCATCCAACTGACAAGCCCCTGCATCTGCCCCTCCAGGATGTCTACTGAATTACTGGTATTGGTACTGTCCTTGCAGGCCAAGTGGAGACTGGCGTTCTCAAACCTGCCATGGTGGTCACCTTTGCTTCAGTCAATGTTACAACTGAAGTAAACTCTGTTAAAATGCACCAGTAGGCTTTAAGTGAAGCTCTTCCTGGGGACAATGTGGGCTTCAATGTCAAAAACGAGTCTGTCAAAGATGTTCATCATGGCAATGTGGCTGGTGACAGGAGAAATGACCCACTGATGGGAACAGCTGGCTTCACAGCTCAGGTGATTATCTTCAACCATCCTGGCCAAATCAGTGCTGGACACGCACCTGTTCTGGACTGTCACACAGCTCATATTGCTTACACTTTTGCTGAGCTGAAGGAGAAGACTGATTGTCATTCTGGGGAAAAGCTGGAAGATGGCCCAAAGTTTCTGAAATGTGGTGATGCTGCCATCGTTGATATGGTTCCTGGGAAGCTCACGTGTGTTGAGAGCTTCTCTGACTATCCTCCTCTGAGTTGCATTGCTGTTTGTGACATGAGACAGACAGCTGCTGTTGGTGTCATCAAAGCAGTGGACAAGAAGGCAGCTGCAGCTGGCGAAGTCCCCAAGTATGCCCAGAAAGCTCAGAAGGCTAAATGAATATTATCCCCAACACCTCCCACCCCAGTCTTAATCACTAGTAGAAGAACAGTCTCAGAACTGTTTGTTTCAATTAGCCATTTAAGTTTAATAATAAATGACTGGTTAGTAATTACAATACATCATAAAACCTTCAGAAGGAAAAGAGGATGTTCTGTGGACCATTTGGGGAGGGGCGTGTGTGGGGGGGCGGGGTGGCAGTTTTTAAAATCAGTACTTTTTAATGGAAACAATTTGACCAAAAATCTGTCACAGAATTTTGAGACCCATTAAAACAAGGTTTAATGAGAAAAAATAAAAATAAATTAAAAATAATAATAAAAAATATGGATGCTAATCCATGGTGGTAGGAATCAGAAATCTGGGCTGGGAGTGGGAAATGTAGAACAAAGGAATACAATGGAATTTTCTAGGGTTTTCACAATGCTTTTTATCATCACACTATACACTTAAAATCTGTGTATTTTACTGCACGTAATTACACCTAAATTTTTTAAAATTATTGTTATTTCGGTCCTGCCCCTAGAGATTCTAATGTATTTGGTCAAGCAGCATGTGTGTACATGCATATGAGTGTGTGTGGGTTTTAAAGCTCCCCGTGAATTCTAATGTGCAGTCAAAGTTCAGAACCACTGTTTTAGACTCTGTAGAGTCTAATTTCTCAAACAGGTAAGAAAAGTATGACATCCATGAAACAAAAGAGATGGAGGACTACATAACTAAATAGAGGAGAAAAGTTAAACCTACAGATCTGAAGAAGGAAATACGGTCAAGAAGTAATTTGCTTCACTAACAAAATCCCAATAAAGCTCAGCACTTGGAAGTCGTAGGTATACAGTCAGTGGGGGAGAGGTATGAGGCTGAAGAGCAGGTTAGTCATTTAAAGTTTGTATGAAGTCTGTACAGAGACCCTCCAGTTTCCCTTCTCTACTATTCGCATCCTCTCTCAAATTTAATTTCTAGAAACAAAGAGACTCCAGGCTCAAGGAGAGAAAAGTGATGCTCAAGGCTGAAAACCAAGGAATTAAGCAGAATTACAGTAGTACCCCCCTTAGCCATCTTGCAGTTTCAGTTACCTGCAATCAACTGTGGCTGAAATTATATGCAAAATTCCAGAAATAAACATTTCATAAGTTTTAAATTGCATGCCATTCTGAGTAGTGTGTTGAAATCTTGCACCATCCCACTCTGTCCACTCCATGAATCATCCCTTTGTCCAGCATATTCTTGCTGTATACACTGCTCAACCGTTAGTCACTTAGCAGGCATCTCAGTTACCAGATCAGATGGATTATGAAGGTATTGCAGTGTCTGTATTCAAGTAACCCTTATTTTGTTTAATAATGGCCCCAAAATGCAAGAGTAGTGATGTTGGCAATTCAGATAGAAGAAAGAGAAAGCATGAAGGGCTTCCTTTCAGTGAAAAGGTATGTATGTGTAGGAAAAAACATAGCATATACTGTATAGGATCCAGTACTATCTATCCATGGTTTCAGGCATCCCCTGGGAAGTCTTGGAATGTATCCACTGTGGATAAGAGCAGAGTCCTATATGTATAATAAATAGCAGCCACCACCCACAGGCCATTTCTTTTGCCTAGCTCTCAGAACAGTGAAAGCCAGGTTTATTACCTCTCCCCAGTTTGATTTGAATGTCCCTTTGCATGCAGCCAAACCACTTTTTATCACAGCGTTTTTCCTAGTGAAGGACAAAGATCTTTTCTAGAACATCTACAGCATCCCTAAGCTCTAGTTTCTGAAGGGTAGGGGCAACATATTAATCAGCATTGTATCCCCAGAGCCTAAAGCAGTGATTGTCAATATACTAAACACTCTATATATCTTTAATTGGTCCTAGACACTGGAGATACCAGGGGGAAAAAAAAAAAGCCTTAGAAAACTAGAACGTACGAGGTGTATATGGACTAGGTCCTACATGAAGATTAAAGACTTAGAATTTATTAATGAAATGATGCCTGGGAATTGTTTTTTAACAATCCCAGAGTCTTCCCCCTGCCACCTTCCAACAAAAATCAGTTTTATTTCTGTATACTGGCCACAATTGTTTTAAAATTATGTATAATGATGTCAAAAAATATCAAATACCTAAGTATAAACATCAAAAGGACATGCAAGATTTTTACACAGAAAGCTAGAAAACATTCCTGAGAAAAGTTTTAAAGACCTAAACAAACAGAGGGATGTATCATTTTCATAAATTGTAAAACTCAATATTGTTAAGATGTCAATTCTTTCCAAACTGATACACAGATTCAATTCCAATTTCCAAAATTTGTAGAAATGAACACGCAGTCAATGAAAAAGCACCACACATTGCAGAGGGGCAAGGAAAGTATTTTCAATAAATGGTGCTGGGTCAAAAAAGATACCCATATGGTAAAAAGTAAATCTGGACCCCTACAACCCATTTGTAATTTACTGTAAGGTACACACCTTAAATGTGAAAAGTAAAACAAAATGAAACTCCTAGAAGGTAACACAGAGAAATGACTTCATATTCTTAGGCTAGGCGTAGATTTCTTAAACAGGGCACAAAACATAGTAATCATAAAGGAAAAAATTAAGTATATTTCATTAAAATCGAGAATTTCCATTAATCAAAAAAAGAGCATTAAAAAGAGTGAGGAGGCAAGACAAGATGAGAAAGAAAAACTTTACATATATGCTAAAAAGGACTCATGGGAGATACGCAAACACATACACACACACTCAACCATAATCATCAAAACAAATACAAAATAAACCCACACTGATATATTACTGTACCTCTATCAGAACAGCAAGTTTTAAAAAGTGATAAGCATCAGGAAGGATGTGTGGTAACTGAAATATCATTCCCTGCTAATTGAGAAAATGACTTTGAGGAAATGTTCAACAGTATGTAATACTGAGGTTTTATCATTCACATACCTCACAAACCAACAATTCCACCACTGGGTATAAATCCCAACCAAGAAATGTTCTGTTTCTTGATCTGTGATGGTACACTTGGGAAAAATTCTTTACCTGCACACTTAGGATTGTGCACTTCTCTGCATACCACACTTCTAAGTTTTCTAAGATTTTTTTTAACACAAAGTTCTCAGAGACCTAAGACTAGTATTTTAGAATAGAAAAGGAGCTTCTGTTGCAGAAACTTTACTAAGAAAACTAAAAAACAAAAATAGCTACTAATGTATCAGCCCAGAACAAAATTAAAAACTACCAACTGATAATTTTTCTTGATCTTCAAGAAGCACTGGATTTTTTTTTCTTTCAGCAAAGAAAGGAGTTTATTATTCTACACTGTAACCCAAAGAAAAGATATCTGTGCAGGAAAATGCTGCTTTTCAAAATCACCTCTAAAGCAATGGATGAGAGCAAAGCGAAGGAATCGTTCCAAAAGTTTTGGTTAACTCTTAGGTGAAAGGATGTCAACTAAGTTGATCTAAGACAACCAAACGACAGACAGAAAAACACAAATAAATCACAGCAACTATAAGCGAACACCAACACTACAATCCAACCTACCGGAAATTCTGCGGTTAATTTAAGGCTTGCCCCGCTTGTCCTAAAGTGATTCAGTCAGTGACGGCTACAACCGCTCCCCAAATGCATCCTTGGGAGTCATCTAGCACACCTGGCTTGCCCATCACCTGCCTGGAGACACGGCCTTGCGCAGAACCCCGGAGGCCAAAAAAAATGACGCTAACTTTACAAGGGGTGCGGGCGGTCTAGCCCCGTCAGGTCACCCAAAGGTAAAAGATTTCTGGCGTCGACGGCCGGTGTGAAGGGTCAGTATCCCCCTCAGGATTCACGGGGAAGCGCACCCAAAGCTGCCCCATCCCTCCACTTCCCTGGAACTCTACTGGAAGATCCGCTGACGAGTTTCTTCCCCAGAGCCCAAGGGCCGCAGGGGCCACAAGGAACTTAGGCCCCGGCAGTGCCGGACGCGCCCGCCCCACTCTCACCGCAAGTTTGGTGGCGGACCCCACTCGCCGCGACTCGGCCTCGCCGTGCGCCCCGCAGAACCCAGGCTCGCGGCCAGCCCGGCCTGGCAGGGCGCCTCTCACCTTGGAAACGTTGGGTGGACTCCGCCGTAAACATTAACTTCCCATGCAGCCCACAGCCGCGCCGCCGCGTCTCTGCGCCTTGGCCCCGCTCCCGGCTCCGCGGGCCGCTCTCCCCGCCTTCTCCGCCGTCACTTGAGCGCCACGCTCACTCAGGAGCTCAGAATAGTGCCGGACCCTCACCCACCCCTCTGGACGCCGCTGCTGTCACAAGCACTCCGCGACCCCTAGCCTGCCCGCCGCTGGGTTTCTCCAGGGTCCGGCCGGGCCGCGTCAGGAAAGCCCAAGGCGCAGGCGCGGCAGGGCCTTAAAGAGACCGGGCCGTCTCTACCGCATAATGGGTCGGAGCAGGTTAGGGGCCGGGCTGGCCGAGAAAGGAGAAGCCGAAGCGATTGGACTGTGGGGAACGGGGGCGGAGAAATCCCTCTTCCCTCCTCTGCCTCTTTCAAAGCAGCAGCCCTTGGCCCTACAAATTGCTGACTTCCTCCTCTCTTAAAATGACCCTAGCATGTGAGAGCTGCACCAGACACCACCCCCCGCCCCGCTCCCGGAGCTCGAAGAGACCCCGCGCTTGGCGCTGCGGGCCTTGCACTGCTGCAACGCCGCACCGCCCACGCGCCTGCTCCCGAGTCGTGGCCACCGGATGCAGACGCGCAGGCTTCGAAAGGCTGTCTGAGCTCCCCGGGAGATGACCTAGGTTTCTCTCAAAAACAATAATTAATTTGTAAATGTCACATGTGATTGCAAATGACTCTACCGTCAGTCCTCTCAACACACCGTCCATATGCGGAGTCCAGCAGGGGGCAGAACCTGGGCACAAATATTTGAGGTGCCGCCATCCAATATCAACGAAGAAATTCTTAGAAGGAAAGTACTTAGTTTGGGAAAGAAACAATTAGTAGATTCCGGCCTAATCCCAACAAAAACAGGAAAGAAAAATAATAAAGGCAATATAAATTGCTTTCATTATACACTTAGAAGTGACAAAATGATAGTAATTATCAGTACCAAAAAACTCCAAAATTATTTGCCCAGAAATCAGATAACCCTGGTTATTTTCAAATTTAAATGTATAATCTCCAAAGGGGTTCCACTGTAATAAACATTCAGAGAAATAAAAAGCTTTCCATTTTTTAAACAAGATTAGAAAGTACCAAAAAATAGGCAGTAGATCCCTGCGTTCCACCAAGCCACAAAACTTTGAAACCTTGAAATTTTGTGAAGCAAAATTTTGCGTAACTTTAAGGCATGCCATTATTTGAAGTTAGTTTTAATTAACAATGTTATTGCAAATGAATCCATGTTGCATAAGAAAGCTGAGACATCTCTATAATCTATCGTTCCCTCCTATATTTCATCTATCAGCAAATCCAATTGATTTTATACCTCCCAAATTTTCCTTGAATCTGTCCTCTTCTGTCTTTTCCATCACCATACTAGTCTAAGCTACCTTTGCGGAGTGAAGGGGGGATACTAAAGTAGTCATCTAATTGGTTTATCCACACATGCGCTTTAGCCCTCTTTAATTTCTTCTTCACATAGGATATATAAGGCAAGGCGACCCTATCACTTTCCAGCATAAACCACTTTAACAGGTTCCCATTCTCAGAGACAAAACCCCTTAACTACCAAGCCCTCGCCTAGTCAGGTGACTTGCCCACCTCCATTTCTCACTGCTCAGACCACATTCCATCCTGCTGTCTCTATTCCAGCCACTCTGGTCCCTTCTAATCCTTCAAAGCTTCCTCCTTCCACAGAGCTTTTGCACAGTGCTTTGCTCTGTGCCTGAAAAGCTCATTCCCCTTATCTCAACTCTAATCTCTAACTCTGAGAAGCACCTTCAGACCCCCCTACCTTGGTCCCTTCCTACTACACTGCACTGAAACTGTTATTGTATGATTATTTTGATGAATTTTTGTTTCCCCCACTGAACTACTACCTCCGTAAGACAAGGAGCTTGGTTTTCTTTGGTTCATGGTCGTAGTTCCATAATTGTTCAATACAAATTTGTTTAATAAATGAATGAGGCTCATAGACTGCTAGAACTTAAACAGATGTGACTTAAGTGTTACCTAGGTCATTTGACATTTGGAATCAGACTCTAAAAAGAACTCCAGCTTTTTTAAAACTGACTTTATATTGTTTTAGCTGAGCTGTCACAAGATTCTTTGGGTAACCACAGTCCTCAAAACTCAGTCCTTTGGGAAAACTCAGTCCTCAGAGCACCTTGTATAAACCCCTGAATGTGATAGCTATGGGATTGGCCCACATGAAACTAATAACATTGGTTGCTTCAAGGTAAGAAGTCTCGGTGACTAGGGGATAGGGCTGGGAAAGAGGCTTGACTGCCTGCCCTTTTGTACCTTTTCAATTTCAAACCATGTGACTATATTACCTATTTAAAAATAAATAAATAACACAAAGTGCACACTGTATGATTCTACCTGTTGGAAATTCTAGAAGATGCAAAACTAATCTGTGGTGGAAAAAAATCATAACTGGTTTCCTGTGGCAGGGAATTGACTGGGAAGGAACATGAGAGAACTTTCTGGGTGTTAAAATGGTCTATATCTTGATAGGAGTGTGAATAAAAGAGGTGTATTCACTTTGTCAAAAATGTACAGTTCACATTTTATTTAGTATAAATTTTACCTAAAAATTGTATAAAATAAATGAAATTTATTATTTTTAAAGTAAGTTAACACACAGTTGAGGCTCTCTCTGTAGAGTATTGGCTAAAGGCTATACATACATTATTTCTTTTAGTCCTCATACTATCCTCATGAGGCAGATATTATTATAAGCCCCTCGCATATGAAAAAAACTAAAACTGAGTAAATATCAAGTAACTTGTCCCTATTTATATAACTGGAAAGTGGTGGAGCAGGGCTTTGAACCCATCAATCTAATGCCAGAAGTGGTTTATATATATTACTTATCCACTAGATACAAGAACTTTGTAGTGAATGAAATCGTATTTTGTCTTGGGCTCCTCAGTGGAACCCAGCACTTCACATAGTACCTGTTCAGTGTATTTGAATAAATGATAAAGAACAAACTTGGTGTTGACTTTATTGGTACTATGGGCGTGTAGTCTAAATAATCTAAATAATCAGCACAGCTGTGCTCAGTTCCTGAGATGTATTATCTCAAATGAGGTTGTTGGCCTGAGGAGACAAGCTTGTATTATTGGCTCTGAGCTTCCAGCACTGTCCCCTGTTTATTCCTTTCCTTCGCTCACCCTGAGATCATCAACTTATTTGATGAAAACAGCTTACACTTTAACTTTTTACTGAAATAGCTACATCTAACCAGAGATATAGCTAATTCCAACCTCTCACGAGTGCTTGAGCACTTGCGTAAGTGAAATTCCACTGTGCGAATTCCCCACCACCACCTCTGCTCCAGCTCTCTGCCCCTCGGCTGTTCACACTCTGGAACTTTAAACTACAGTAAAAGAAAGAGGCAACATGGATGCAGCGAGCAGTGCCACCCTCCTCAGAAAAGTTTAAGGTAAATTCAGTTAGCAATTCAAAGTTGCCTATGTTCAAATGCTGCACACACTTAGCATTGATTTGTGTCACTGTCACAGAGATGAAGGTCTGGGCTCTATCCTCTGTAAATCTGGCAAGGGTTAAATCTCAGAACACTGTGCTTTCAACTGCCAAAGGTGTTTTATAAGTCAGCCACGTGAGCCTCATTGCTCACAGAAAGGAAAAGCAAGAGAGGCGTTCCCCTGATGAAAACTGCCCAGGGTACTGGAGAGTCACTCACCAGTGGAGTTAAACCCACTGATGAATAACATCCAACCCTTACTCTGGGCAGTTGGTATTTGGGGCTTTCTTAGAGAACCAGGACAACTAGTTATATTCTAGGATTGTGCTGTCCAATACAACAGCCAGTAGCCACATGTGACTATTTATGTTTAAGCTAAAATTAAATTAAAATTTCAGTTTCTTCATTGCACTTACATATTTCAAGTCGAGTGCTCACCAATACAGAACACTTCCATCCATCAGAAAGTTCTCTTGGCAGCAATATTCTAGAAAAAGGAGAAACAACACTCTTTTGAAACTCCAAGCTAATGTTCAAATATTTTTTCCTTTGGGAAAATGAAGGCTCACGATGAAATAGTGAAACCTATTACACTTGGTGCACTGCCTTCCACAACACAAAATCAAAAGGCACTCAAGCTCAAAAGCTGTGTGGCTTCTCCATGTACTGAGGAGCTAAGAATGGCTCTAACCTCACTAGTTTACCTCCATTACACTCTGCTGTTTGCAAGGCACATTATCTTAGGAAAGAACGTTGTTAAAGAGGCACACAATTCTATTGCCACCCCTTGGCACTTGTGCACAGGTGGAAACTAGATCTGCCACCGTTGTGGTAAAAACCAGCTCTCTGGCTCTAGAGTTTGAACATGGTTTCTATGTGTGATATTAAAACATTCACACTATCAGTCCAACAGCAGCTTTTGAAAATCGCACCACCAAAATGGGATATCAATGAATTGCCAATTTCCACACCACCCACCAGAAGGAGAAGTCCATTGTTTTCTTGACTTTCTGAAATATCTGTTTTAAAGCAAGGTAAATACAATGCAACTAGAGTAGTAATTCCACTTAAACTATTTAATTATCTGGGAGCTAGTAACCTCTATATTAATGCAAATGACTAGATTGTGACTTAAATTTCAAATTGTTTGCCAAAAGTATGCTTAATCTATTCAAGCTCCAATCTTTTCATCCATAAACTGGAAATAACAATAATAACATCTACTTAAGCACTGAAGTGACAAATGAAATAATATATTCAAGGCACATAATAAGCATTCAAAAAATGGCAGCAATTATAGTTGCTATTATCAAAGCCAAAAAACACCAACATGCAAAAATAAAAGACAGATTTTTTTAAAAAGACTGAAAAATCCCTTCACCCTAAAAAATTCTGACTCTACCATCTGCTCATTGTCTGGCCTTTAATCTCTGTAAGCTTCAATTTCTTAATCGGGCAAATAAGGATAGGAGTGCTAACAATAGATGTGTTGGTGAAATGTGTTATTTCATGTGAAAATGATTTAATAACAGCAAAGTACAAACTTTTGCTAATGTTAATTAGCACTCTGTCCCAATTCCATTTAAAAAAAAAAAAGGATGAGGAAACTATTCTAGGAAGGTGTTGCTTTACAGTAAAATTAATTAGCTTTTGTAACGTGACTGGGAAACAACCACTGATAAAGTCATCACTGAAAGGCCACACAACCATCAACCCTGCCACCA